ATATTGCTTTGAAATAATACAAAAAGATTTACATTGTTTTTTTTTCTTGACTTTCAGATGCACTAAAATGTAGGTAACTTGCCTTCCCAGTCTTGTCTTTTGGTGGATTATTTGAATTGGCTGTCTTTGGGGATTCTAGATCCACTAGAAAGCTCTAGCATTCACCACAAGTTTCCAAAATCACCATCTAGTGGCAGTGGGTGTCGCTATAAATCTGAAAAGAGGGGGTCTATCCAATTCTGTGGTAATTGGGAGCAAGGACTCCTGTTCCCAATGAATTCCTCATCACAATGGCGCCAGGACACTTGTGTAGGCATGCTGGGCCCACAGATGCTGGCTGGTCAGAGTCATGGGCCTCTGCTGGGTGCTGTTACTTCGCTTTGGGATGGGCCCCGGGAGGTGCAAACTGATAGCCGGCAGATCTGTCATCAAATACGAGGTGTGGCGAAGGCAACCTTCAGAAGGTACATTTTATAACTTTACTGTGATAATAGCCCGCACTTCTGGCAAATGTAACCAGAGAGAAATAAGTGTGTGACACTGAAGGGGTGAAGGTCATTGATGGACAGGCGTCTCAGTCCTGTCAGCCTTGCTTCTTCCAGGAACCCACCCTGACTGACCTCATTCTGCTGTGGTAACGGTTTTATGATTTACTGAAGGAATCTCTGAATAGATAGAATAAACAACGATCTAATACTAAACTTCTTTCTGGTCCATTTCTGTATAAAGATTAAGTATAATTTGGCTCCCCGGGATTGTGCACTGAATTAATTGGCTCTAAATGCTTTAAGAGTCAAGGTCAAGAACATACACCTCCCCCACCCCCCACCCCCCGCTCCCTGTCATGTCTTGCGGATGGATGGAATTTACGTTCTCCGAGGAGAAGGCTTGCAGAATCCCAGACTTTGGAGTTGGAAGGGGCCTTTGAGACCAAACTGCTCATGTTTTTAAATGAGAGAGTAGGAGTTTAACTGGCTTGAGTCAAAAGTAGGTTTACAGCTGTGAGTACGGGAAACACAGTTTATTCTTGAATGATTATTATATTATTTTCGCTATGAACAACTGTAAACCTATTTCCCGCCCCACTCCACAGATAAGTGCAGTCTACTACCTTGGTCCTTTCACTCCTGCCCAGTCCGCTTGCTGTTTCTCAATAACTGATGGGTGTTAAACCACCCAAACCATTATACTCATGTGAAGTCTTATCAGTCTGCTACTCATCTCTATTGGAAAATGGCCTTTCTTAACATGTAAATATCCTTGGGGCACTAATACATTGGTTGCTAAGGCTTAGTGAGAGTTCATTTGCTAAGACTACAACCAGCTGGTAGGCGCCTGCTGATTTCAGTGAGGGCAGATAACTGCTTTTAGGAGGCCGTGGGCCGTAGGTCTGCGGACAGGGGGCGAACAGACGCGGGTCCCTGGAGTTTTCAGAGGTGAGCCTGGCCGCGCGCCTGGCCGTGGGCGGGCAGCACTGGTTTCACCGTTGCTCAGCCCCCAGGAGAGGACAGTTGTGGCTTTGTTTGTGGTTCAGGTTCCTCCCGCCTCTCAGTTGTCAGTAATAATAGTCTGTGCTCACTCTGAGCTCTTCCAACGTTTTAAAGCTGTTAATCTAGAGCTAAAAATAGCTTCGCACATGAGGAGTGCCTTGAAAGTTAAATACACCTGCTTCAGGCTACCAAATGAAAACAGCATTTTAACACAGACGCCTCACTGTTTGTTCTCGGTAGTTGTTTTTGTTTTAGGGCGTCTTGTGGAGGATGACAGAAATGCTGGTTTTTGTTTTGTCTGTTCACACAACACGGGGAGCCATCTGCTATGATGAAATTGGCAAAGTCAAATTGTATGTTCTTTGGGGACCCACTTAAAAAATCGCTAAAGACAGATTGACAACACTCCAGACAATTTTATGAATCTTGTTGTGGGAGTCTGTTATTGAGTAGTCTGAATCCATAGGCATCTGTGTTAGTCTGTAAAGCTCATATGAATTTTAATCCTGCTATTACTGAGGGAAATCTATTAAAATAGCCTGACTACTTAGATTTTCTGAGTGGGATAAAGTTAATCTGCAGTTACAGAAAACATCTTAGAGCTATCGAGTTTACTATCAGATGGAGATGCCAGGAATTTTTAAAAAAGGATTACTCAATTGACAAACTCTTCCTTTCTGTGATGCTTGCTTTAACACTCAGTCCTAAGCGTGACAGACAGTTTTCCATTCATGCTTTGAGCCGAAAAGGACTTGGATCCAGTAGGGTTCTTGCTACTGTCATTAAACAAGGGACAGATGAGGAGCCAGGGATGCTGGCGGGCAGGGGCGTGGGCACAGGAACCCCCAGAGCTGCAGTGCTGGGGGCAGAAGCACAGACTCTGGCTTCTGCAGCTCCCCTCCCCCCCACCCCAGCCCCAAATCACTGGGCAATTCAAGAGGCGTGGGAGGAGCGCGGTGCTTCCCCCCAGTTTATAATCTCCTGGGGCCGGGGGCCAGGGGCCACTGTCCGGTTTTGTTTGTGGAGACACTGAGGTGCAGGCTGGCCCAGCGACCCCAGAGGAGCCAGAACTCACCCTGACGGGAGAGGACATTCCAAACTTTCGACTACTAAGAAGATGGTGCTAAGAAAAGAAAGTTTATCCCTGCTGTTTCGATTTGCTCTCATTTTGGGGTGCCCCATTTAATTACCTGGTCATTCCTCATTAACGGCCAGTTTCCCAGCGGGATGGTGGTGAACTCTGATGAGCTTCTGTATAGACATGGGATGGCAGTAATTGTGCTGGCTTATGTTTTAATTCACGTGGTCCCTGCAAACTTGACTTGTGTCTGCCCATAGTTAGCATGAGCATCACAGCCTCTGTGAATCGCCGTGGCCACGTGGCTGGGCAGTGCCGGGGGGACACGGGTCCGGATTAATGCCGTGCCGATGCTGATACCTCGGCCTACAGCGAGTTCAATGAGACGCCGTGAGGCGGTCCTGTCTCAGTGTGGAGCGTTTACTTAGCTGTGTATACAGGCTTTGAAGACTTGACTGTCATTTGAACTTGATGTGAATATTGTGGTAGGGCATCGTCTGAAAATGTAATGATTTGTAGTTTTTAAGAGAAAGGGGTAAGGTCCCTCCCCCCCCCCACCTCCCCCCCGCCCCGAAAAACAGCAATAAAGACTCGGCTGCGGAGGCGTGTGCATGCTCCCCGTTTAATTGGTCACTGGTTACAGATGCGAAGTGACATGTTCAGTTTTTGGCGTTCCTCTGCCGCCATCCCTCGGGAGCATGGTTCTCCAGGCGTGATTCTTGGCCCCTTCAGGTGGTTTATGAACTACGTGGATGTCGATATAATTAGACTATTTACTTTTGTGCCTGGCATGAGCCAGAACTTTCCTGATATGGTTATTTAGAGATGAGTTCATTCTGCCCGATGAAAACATGTAGTTAAGAAGGTAAAGAAAAGTGGTCAGTGCGTCTGCCGATGCACAGAACCGCTGGCCGGGCCAGGGGTCTGTGTGGTAGGCGTGAACTCGGCCTGGTGCTGTCAGAACAGAATGGCTTTCCCACGTCCAAGGCGATGATCCCGATGCGGGTGAACCTGGAGGTCGGGAAGGTGGTGTGTACACAGTGCTTTTTCTGGGAATGCTCAGAGTCCCGCAGGTAACAAGGCTTTCCTCCCAGAGCAAGGCTTTGGCACAACTAGGACCAGGAGAGGACCTGGGCAAGAGGATGGAGGCAGAGCAGACAGAAAGAATGGGATCCGAGCTTCCTGGTAAAGCAAAGCATTGCTGCATAAGTGCGTGTGTAATATTTTTGTGGAGATAAATTATCTGTGAAAACCAAGCTCAGAACCCCTACTTTGTGACATGCGCTGTCACCCTCAGCACTCGGTGTCCCTCAATTCCTGCACTCACTGCCCCCAGAGGAGAAATTCTTGGTTTCAGTCTGCATTTGATAGCCATGCAGATGATGCTGTATTTCAGCAACTCTGCTCCCATGTGTGCTGGGGTCACATGACCAGGAGAGAAAAGGAGGTGAACACGGGGAGGAAGGATGCTGGTCCTGCAGGAGCACCTCCCAGGCCACCCGAGGACCTTTACTCCACAGACCTGCCTGTCACCCGTAGAAACTCCAACCCGGCAGCGTTCATGACCAAACGCAGAAGGTTTTGGCCCAGACAGACTGACATGAGCCCATGAGAAGGGATGTGTTTCTATGCTTTGATGTGTCACAGCAGCTTCAAATTTTTATTTTTAAATGATCAGAGTTTATTTTAGTGGGAAGTTTTAAAGTAATTGATTTAGAACTTTAGTCCAGTGGGAAACCTCACATCAGTTGCTCACTTTGGGAGGAGGTTTTCTTAAGGCATGAGGTATATTGATAGAATGCTGAGCGTGTCTCGCTGGGCTCGGCCACTCGAAGGACCTCCTGCAGGTGAGAACATGCACGTTTCCTCTAAACCTCCGTCACTATCACATTTTACCCTCGTCAAGGAGTAGCACGATAGAAAGTGTCTGTCATCTGACACGTGACGCTTCAGTTACTTGTCCATGAATTTCCTTTTCCAAGTAGAGAATGTCCTTCCCATGCTGACTCGTCACACACAGCTCCTCTCTGCCCCCCCCCCTCCCGCCCACCAGTGGTCCAGTCCACAGCATCCAGGTTAGGGCGCATCCCTGGCTCCAGGTGTGGCCTCGTGAGTGAGCAGCTTGTCTGACTCCCCCCCCATCTGTGGAGGCCCGAGGACGTGGGCCTCAGCCGCGCACGACAACCTTAGGCAGCCAAATCCGGGCCTTGTATCTCCCACTTGTCTTTATGACATGTTTTTCTTTTGAAATGATAGGATGAACCCATGCTCAAAACCTCTCGAAAGCATTTGGAAAATACAGCTTTGATGTGGCTCTTCAAAACAAGTTGGCACGAAAGGAAAAGTGGCGTTTGGTCTGGCTTGTGGAGGAGCCGTGGCCCGCCCCCCTCCATGGGCTCAGGGTTCCCCAGGAAAAGAAGCGAGGGCCCGGCTCAGGGCCCGGGCTGGCTTTGGAGGGCCGTGTCCTCGTAGTGACCGGCCCCGGGGGCGGTGGCCTCTAGGGGCAGGCCCTGCTGCTGGTAGCCGTAGTTGACAGTGCCGCACGGGAAGTGACGCAGCCTGAACAGGGGCACTTCCTTCACGCTGGCGGTCAGCGAGGACGGCTCCAGGAGCAGGGAGGCCCCGGGGACTCTGCCCGCTGCAGCGCTGGGCGGGACGGGGCCCCCGGGCCCCGGGCCTCCCCTCTCGGGTTCCTTCTGTGCTGGAGGGCGGGCCTTCCTGGCCGGCTTCTCTGTGAACCACGAGCCGTAGGTTGGGTTCCACAGGCTGGTTGGCTTGTTTCGGGATCGCTGGACTTTGTGCAGCTCGGATGGCGGGTTTGACTGAGCGAATGCCATGTTAATGTGTCCCCCTCCCACGGCCGGCCCTCTGGCGACTGGAACGTTGACCTCTGGCGCCGGTGGCTTCCTCACCGCCTTGCCCGAGGAAGTGGAGGGCAGGGGGGCCAGGGCGGCTGGGTCCTGCCTGTCCCCCCCTTTCCCTGCGGGGGGAGAGACTAAGAGAGGAGGGACTCCCTCAGGGTCTTTGGGCCTCACGGGCACTTTCTCCTCCTCCTCCACGAGTGGGCCGTATTCTATTGGCAAAGCCGTGTTGATCACATCTGGATCCTACAGGCAGGAGAAACGAACTGATTAAAACTCAATCACAGACACGAAATGTCGGATCTGGAAGATACCTGAGCCGTGATCTCACCCACACTTACTTTACTGAGGAGGAAACCATTCAGTGTTTATTGGGAATATGTTAATGTACACGCACGGGGGAATAAGAAACCAATGGGAGCCTGGCCAGTGTAGCTCATGGTTGAGCATCGACCATCCATCAAAAGGTCACTGGTTCGATCCCCAGCAGGGGGCGTGCAGGAGGCAGCCGATGGATGATGGTGTTTCTCCTTCATCGATGTTTCTCTCTCTCCCTCTGTCTTCCTCTTGCTCTAAAAATCAATAAAAACATTTTTTTAAAGCAGCCAATGGGAAGCCCTCCTCACCCTTGACAAGTGCAGGATAAGCCCTGGGATAGAAGCCGTGCAGGGTGCTGGAAGCACCCAACTGCCCGGGCAGGGGTGGGGGCTGGAAAGGCTTTGCAGAGACCACTATTGGGAAAATCTTGCGGATTAGTGGATTAAAAACTTATAAACTAGTTTAAAAAATTATTCCAGCCCTAACTGGTTTGGCTCAGCGGATAGAGCGTCAGCCTGTGGACTGAAGGGTCCCAGGTTCGATTCCAGTCAAGGGCATGTACCTTGGTTGTGGGCACATCCCCAGTAGGGGGCGTGCAAGAGGCAGCTGAATCGATGTTTCTCTCTCATCGAAGTTTCTAACTCTCTATCCCTCTACCTTCCTCTCTGTAAAAAATCAATAAAATATATTTAAAAAAATTATTCCAGTCTATTCCCAATAAAATCTTTCTAAAAAGAGAACTCTGTGTGTCTGACTCCAGGTTTGTGTGTGTGAGATGGGGCAAGGGGGTGGGGAGGGAGGAGACACCGTCCCATGTTGGTTTACAAGGTTTCTCTCTTCCTGGCTGCCTCCTGCTCTCCTCATGTTTGGGTGGGTGGTGCGTGACTATATTTTTCATATTGTTACACGTCAGATGTCACAGAGCAGTGGCTCTCCAGTCTGGGTGTGACGGGCCCTTTGTGAACCCCGGGAAATGCCGAAGCGCTGCGAGGAAAACCATTCACACACCAACTCTGTGCTATTTTCGTCCACAGATCATATTTATGGCCACGGAATGTAATAGAGAAAAGCAAAAGCAGTTGCCAGAGATTTGAGAAAAATGTGTGGGAGAAAATTTAAACTTGGGGAAATTTAAGTCTTTAATACTTTATGCAATTTGGGACAACCATGACTGCAGTTTAACAGAAAGCACATGGATCTAGTACTCATCAGTAAAGAGTTTAAGAATAAAAAATAACCACCTTCTGATTCTCATTTATATTTTAGCTCCTCTGTTAATTATTGATGTCTATAGTGAGTCATTCAACATGTGCTCAGACAGCCCAGCCAGTGTGGCTCAGTGGTTGAGCGTCGACCCATGAACCAGGAGGAGGCCTTGGTTCACTTCCCGGTCAGGGCACATGCTGGGGTTGAGGGCTCGATCTCCAGTGGGGGGCGTGCAGGAGGCAGCCACTCCATGATTCTCTCTCATCATTGATGTTTCCATCTCTCTCTCTCCCTTCCTCTCTGAAATCAATAAAGGTATATATTTTAAAATGTGCTCCTATAGAGCCATCTGTTTTTAAGAGGCTATACACTGTTGGAGAGCAGGGGTTTTCCATACTTCCCTGCAGATCCAGTTTTATTCAATAAAACATGAGGTGCCTGGTGGGAATTTAGTAACACTGGCGAATTGGATTGATTCCCTATTGAGTGGCAGCCACGTGTCACGTGCTGCTGAAGAAAACAGCAGCTACTGGTATTAACCATAAAACTTGCAAGCTGAGGGCCCCATCATTTTACTTTATAGATAACTAACATTCATTCCCATGATCCCAACTCACATCTTCTGGCTGGTTTAACTTTTATTTCACGTTTCGGCATTTGCCCTCATGAAAACTTGCTGACCAGGGGCATGTCTGTACCTGCGTGCAGTATTCGATCCTCTCCAGGATGGTGGCGAAGTTGGGCCTGTCCTCAGGCTGGTGCTGCCAGCACTGGGTCATTATCCTGTATCTGAAAGAAGGATCAGCACATTCCTTAAAACCAGGAGAAACAGGATGAAACGTACTTTTCTTCTCCCCACGCCTTTCTATGTGGGACGGGGGGTGGGGTGGGGGTGGTGGGGGTGGGATGGGGGTGGCGCTGCCTTTGAGGGTGGTAACCCCAGATCCCATGTGGTTGGCATATGCTGCCCTCTGCTGATAGGCCAAGGAATCGTGCCAAGTGTAGAAGCTAACACCAAGGCCCATGAACACAACCATCCTGTGTTCCCATTAAATACGGACCTCTCATCCATTCCTGAGTTAAAGTCACCTCTGGGAGGAATATTCTGATTACATTGCCCATCTGCCTTGCTTGTGGCTAGCAGGTGAGGGGTGCCAGACAGGACACAGAAAATGCGGGGAATGGGCAAAAGTAGGTTTACAGTTTCGAGCATGCCAAGCACAGAGGTTATTCTTATGGACAAACATAAACCCACTTTGTCCCACCCTGTTTTTAGGGGACTCAGGTACAATGGTGTTGGGTAGAAGGGTGGAGGCCAGGACACACATTCCTGAGGAGTGTGAGCTTGGTGAGCCCATGGCCTCCCGCCAGCCAAAGGACATCTCTTTGGGGTTGAAGTTACTGCTTTTGGGGCCGGAAGACTAACCCATCCCACTGGAATCACAGACATGTTCCTATCTCGGGCGCATTAAGGGAGGCCAGCCACCTGCCCTTCCACCTTCACAAAGCACATGGGGCTGCAGATGCTTTCTGAAAAGGAGAACTGTGCTTAGTAACTTGCAGAAATGTCCCTAAAAGAGTCGTACACAGGCCCAGGGCAGTTCTTCGGGGGGTCCATCCGTCCTCCGCTGGTGACGAACTCCAGGACCTCCTGGTTGCTCTTGCTGGGGTACGGCATGTATCCGAGAGAGAATATTTCCCACAGCAGCACTCCGAAGGACCTGCGCACAGGACAGGAGACACGGATGTGGATGCACACACATGCACACGTGTGCACACATGGATACATGCATAGATACACATATGGACACACACACGGACAGACACACACACATGTACACACACATACACAGATGTAAAATTTTAACTTTTTTTATTACACACGTTCCACAACAGAGAATTGTTAATATGGAGAGATGAGAAAGCCACGTGCCATGCTCCGTAAAAAGACCATTATTAGCATGTTGTTGTTTTTTGTTCTAGTCAAGTTTCTGTGCTTAGATTTTTTGTTGTTGTTAATCCTCACTCGAGGATATTTTTCCATTGATTTTTAGTGAGAGTGGAAGAGAGAGGGAAAGAGAGAGAGAAACATCCATGTGAGAGAAACACATGGATCGGTTGCCTCCTGCATGAGCCCCAACCAGGGCCCGGGCCGGGGAGGAGCCTGCAACCAAGGTACGTGCCCTTCACCGGAATCAGACCCGGGACCCTTTGGTCTGCAGGCCGACGCTCTATCCACTGAACCAAACAAGCCTAGAGCCTTCTGAACCTTGATTTTTTTTCAATTCCATCATAGCATAACATTTTCCATGCTAATAAAAACATTTTGTAAATAGAATTTCAAAGGGCTATAAAAATTCCCACAGAGTAGTTTTGTCATATTTGCCTTATCACTTAAAATTTTTTAAATATTTAAAATACTATGATGAATATCTTTGCATTTTTTTAAAAGGACAATTAGCTTAGGATAAATTCCTTGAATTTAGTATGAGAATAACCTGGTAAGTTCTAGGATAATTCTAATGAAATGACTAGATCAGAAGAATACCAACTCTGAAAAATTCTTGACACACACTTTCCACTTGACTTCCAAACGTGTCCCTCTGACCATCAGCCAGCCTCGTGCAAGAATGCGCCCGACACCACCACCCAGCCTTCTCCCTGCACCGACCAGCTCCTGCTGCATTCTTTACAGCTCTGGCACCATCACTCACTCACTGGCTCACGCTGCAGACGTGGGCATCGTCCTTGGTCATCACACTCTTTCCCACACCCCACTCCACACCAGCGGTCAGCGTCCTGTCCCCTTCCCACACCCCACTCCACGTCAGCGGTCAGCATCCTGTCCCCTTCCCACACCCCACTCCACGTCAGCGGTCAGCGGGCCTGTCCCCTTCCCACACCCCACTCCACGCCAGCGGTCAGCGTCCCTGTCCCCTTCCCACACCCCACTCCACACCAGCGGTCAGCGTCCTGTCCCCTTCCCACACCCCACTCCACTCCAGCGGTCAGCATCCTGTTCCCTTCCCACACCCCACTCCACTCCAGCGGTCAGCATCCTGTTCCCTTCCCACACCCCACTCCACGCCAGTGGTCAGCATCCTGTCCCCTTCCCACACCCCACTCCACACCAGCGGTCAGCAGGCCTGTTCCCTTCCCACACCCCATTCCACACCAGCGGTCAGCGTCCTGTTCCCTTCCCACACCCCACTCCACTCCAGCGGTCAGCATCCTGTTCCCTAACTACTCGAGACCGAGCTTGAACCCACCCACTCTGGACGCGTCCCCTGCCACCCCGAGGCCTCGCCCTCTCACCTCGTACCTAGAAATGAGCAGTATTTTCCGAGTGGTTTCCCCTGCTCACCTGTCCTACTCCAGTCTGTTTCAATGGCAGCAAGTGCTTTCGTTTTTAAGTGATCATGTCACACTCTTGCTTCCAACTCTTCAGAGGCTCCGTTGTGCTCAGAATAAATCCGAGACCGAAGCCTGGGTCCAG